GAGCACGATTACCAACTGCACGTGTTCTTCAGTGAATWATTTATTTATTGCATCTCTTTAATATCTTTATCCTATCTTGTGTTTCAGAATACAAAATGTGTTCACAAAGGTCTCTCCTTGACAAGATTATCAGTTAAATATGACTGTGTTGATGTCTTTGCAGAGGGACAGGTCTGTCACTGGTTGTATCAAAAGAGTGAAATAATTTCCTCTTATGTAACAGGTTTATTTTTACAATATTTTTGTAATTTTCACTGTTACTGAGGAGCATAGTTATAACAAAATGAATGCTTTATGATTTTTTCATGGCAGGTTCCCTGCTGTAGCCATGTGAAAAAAAAAATCAGACAGAAATATTTGTTTCTGGCTCAAATTTGTCCAGATGATTTCAGCAGGAGAGCAAGTCTTTTCAAACTGTTCCAGTGCTTCGTATGTTTAGGAATAATGGAAACAGGGATTTACCCTTTAAAAAAAAAAAAGTATTTCCCTTTATTTTCCTTTGTGCCTTTCTGAAGCCCRTTGGCTTTTTGTTGCTTGGATATATTTATTATTTATTTTTAAAGAGTGATGACTAATATGAATTCCCCATTTGATTTTAGAATGAAAYGGTGAGGCATTTCAGGCACTACCTTCACCTTGGGCTCCCACTTACTTCATTTTAATYTTTTTCCATAATTGCTGCATTGCTAAATCCCCAAAGAAATGTAATGGAGATTGTATGAAGGAATGGACCACACAGTTGCTCTCTCTGAATTCTGCAGAAACCAATGCTGAAGGTTTTCAGGGGAGCAGCTCCATGTGCCTCGTGATGAGCTCCTCAGGAGGAAACTGTGGTTCTAATTTTAAGGAAAATTTAGGTAGAGGTTTTCCAAATGTTGGTTTCCAGGGGGACTTGCCAGGTGCTAGCCGCTAGAAAGCAGCGGGAGCAGGAAATTCCAATGAAGCCCGTTTTTGTGGGCTGATGGAGACACAAGGGCAGGGGTGCTGGATCAGCCAGCGGGCTGCGGTGCCTGGGGTGCTTTCCCCATTCCTGCAGTTCCTGCCGACACCGGGTCTCATCACCAAGGCCCTGTAGGCAGTGGTGTTGCCCTGGCTGGTGAGTGCCTTCTCTGTAAAAAGCAGCAGCTTTCCAAGGCTGATAGTGCTGTGTGAATCTGCGTGGCTTAGGGACTAGGGTTTTGAATGTAGAGATGCCATTTGTCTGTTTGCAGAGAGCAAAAAGGTACTTTTCAGGAGTATCTTTCCACTGATGAGGATTTGAAACTTTTTTGCTGTAGGAGGATGAGTTATAATGGTAATATAAAGTCAAATTCATTAAAGAAACCTGGTGTGTGCCYTTTTTTACTGTTAAGATGTAGTGTCTTTTATAGCTCTTTAATTCCAAWTTGGAATTTTCTTACTCATGCTGCTTTTAGGAATTTTGTGCAAGAAGCTTCCTACGGTGTTGTAGCCTTTCAGGAGATCATGGCTTACCGTAATATAATGCATGGTAAATAAACCAATCCCAATAAAAAGGGCTACATGCTCAATTCCTGTTGTAAGCCATGCTTTCCATACCATCAGAACTGTCCTTGTAAAGCCAGATGGTTTATGAGCAGTTTTGCAGTCCCGTTCCTTTGGGCATCTCTGTGCTTTTGTCTGCTAATCAGGATAAGCATACTTCTCTTAAACAGGATTTTTCAGTTAGCGGTTTCATTAAGAGAGTTTCTAGGGGTTTTCACTTGACCATATTCCCTTTCATGGCCTCAAGTCTGCCATTTAGGAGGCCAGTTTGTACCATACCTTGTCAGGATTTAAAGCAGTTCTGAATCAGATGCCTACAGTTAGGCTTTCATCCAGTCAAAACCAGAACCTTTCATCCACTCATCTCTGAGGCAGAGTATGGAAAAGGCCAGGCAGAGTATGGAAAAGGCGAGGCAGAGCTTCCCCTCCTGGGGATGTCTGAGAGGGAATCAGAGAAAAGGCCCTGGCTGCCCCAGATCCTCTACCACTGAGGAAGCTTTCAGGGCTGTCAGCTGCAGCCAAGAGGAAACCATTTCCATTTAATATTTCTACATCCACAACCTTTCAGACATAATAGTAAAGAGTTCTGGGTGTCAGGTGAGAAGTTGTATCATGTCCAGTCCTCCTGTCTCTTGGGTTTGTTCTCAGCAGGTTGTCTAATGCCACGTCAGCCTGTTTGGATTGCTTGGCAGATACCTGCTTCTTTTCTCCCCCGTCTTGCGGTCATCACTTTCCTGTTACAAGAAGGCCAGGGATGAAGAGGCCATTGAATAGAGCAGGGTATCGGTGTGACACCTTSGTTTATTTTGTGCTTCCCTCTTGCCCTCCACACATTGCCCTGTGGAGGGACCATCCTTGCAGCAGTCAGGGCAGCAGAAGSTTTAGTGTTTCACTCCCTGTCGTGCCCTAGGACATGGTCTATGAAGTTCAGAGGGAAAGTTTATTACCTGTAATTCCATATTCAAATAAAGAAGAGCCTTTGGTGTCCTCTCACAGGTCTGTGATACCTCCATGCATCCATCCATCATGTCAGCTTTTGTATATTCTTTCTTTTATCATCTTTTTGCTGTATCTCCTGTGATAGTTCATTACCTCTGGCTTGCACCATGAGCCCTGTTAACATCAATGTTAAACAGCCAGTGAAGCAGGGAGGCTTTTCAGGTYGCGGCAGTAGGAAAGCAAAGTCTGTTGAGAAGTTCTCCCCATCAGCCAGTCAGACCTGAGCCATATTCACAAAAACAGTGAGGAACGTTTCATTTTTCACAAGTAGTTTTGCATGGATGATTTTTATTCCTTTAATTGGCCGGTTCAGGGAAGGTCTGAGAGGCTGTAGGCCGGGAACAGCATCTCATGCTGAGCCCACGAGCCTCTCTGTCCTGCCAACCTCATCCATTGGGGCTCCAACCTCCTCCATGGGAGGCAGCACCTCTACCCGGGAGCGCCTGTGCACCCGACACCTGCATCTCCCATGGAGGCATGAGTCAGGGTTGTTCTGTCTGGAAACAGAGCTCTCTGATTAGAAAATTTGAATTGAATTCCCAAATTTTATCTTGGAGCATATTCCAGTGTATCTGTTATTGCTAATAGATAAGTTTTCAAGGCAAATTAACTCAGCTGAGTGTTATTTTCCTAATCCTAACTCAGAATGCTCCCAGCTGCTTTGCATGATTCGATTTGAATGAAGTGTTTATTCACATACAAGAGGTTGTCTCTTTTCTAACCAAATATTGCAAAAATGTTGCCTCCAGTCTCTGTATTAACAATTTCTCATCTGCTGTTAGTTTTAATCTTTTTTTGTCTTCTTCAGCTTGCAGATATTTTGACCAGTATTTCTGCATAGTGCTTAAATATTTAATCTGTGCACATAACTTTTTTTGTAAGTATAATGTGGTCAAGATATTGAATGTGGGGTTTTTTTTGTTGTTTTTGTTTTTTTTCTTTTCATAAGATTAAGAAAAATGCAGTCCAGTTGTTCATTTAGGAAACAAAATTGGGCAAGGTCAGAAGATGGCTTTAAGGCATATCAGTCTGAGGTGCTGAAACACCTAGCAAGAGATTTGAGGATAAGTTAACAAAAACAGGAAATTCAGGAATTTCAGTAATTCAGGAATTCAGTAATTCAGGAAAGGAATGAAGAAGAGAGATCTTATAACAAGAGATTGAGATGTTTTATTCTTTCTGTTTTCCATGATAAATAAAGATCTATTTCAAGTATCTGGCTTCGGCATTTTCCATAAATTTAGTAGTAGTCAAAATAATGAACTAGGCTGTCAATTGCGTAGCAGTTTCTTAAACAACTCCTGGTGCTTCTGACCAGACTTTAATTGCTCACAATGAGTCTTTAAGTGATTGTTTTACCCTCCTYTGGGGGTGCTTGGAGGATTCTTTTTGAAAGTTAGGAGCAAGATATTGGGTTAGATGCATTATTCTTGCATTTCCCCCTACTAGTTTAGTCCACAGTGTTGGTGTCAGGTCTGCTGCAGGGCTGGTAGAGCTTCAGTTTTGGAGGTTACTTGGGTTTTTTGTTTGTTTGTTTTGCAGCTTGGCAGTCCTTGGGAGTAGAGCACAACAACTGTTTTAATAGCACGTAAAATAACAACAGCACCAAAGTGGCTTAGTTGGGAAGCTCAAAAGGAAACTGGCTTCCCTTCCAGCCTCAAYGAGGCCTGTGTCCCACCAAGGGTAGTTGTCACTGCCGGGACACGGCTGGTTTGCTGATGCCCACACCATGATACCCCTTGTATACACCTGTAAACCCATGCAAATCTGGGAATATTTGTGATTTATAAGATAAATTGCTGACCCTTCTTAATTTAATAGGAGCTTTACCCTGTACTTCATCCTTTTGTTGGCGTTATTGGCAAGGTTGGTGGGTTTTTCTCCCCCATCATACAACCAATTCAGAACAGTACGTTAATGTGAGAGAGTCGGGTTTGTATGTGGAATGATCACCTGTTTTGCTTGTTGTCATCCTCTTGAATAAGCAGCCTTTTATAATGTATGAAAGCCAGTGCRGTTGTTTTCATTTTTTCTGGTTTGATAACCTGATTTTCATTAGCAGAAATATATGCTGCGTTAACATACAKAGATGATGTGCTGTGATGAAGGGACAGAGCAGGCACGCCACAATTCTATAATTTTATTTATTTATTTTTACTGCATGTTAAACTAAATCTTAGTCTAGTCTAAGAACTAATTTATCTGATGGCCTTAAGCAGCTGCTGTATTAGAGTAGCTCTTTGGTAAGTACAGTACGTTTTTCTTCTCTTTGAAGGCTAAGTCAGACCACGTAGGCCTCGTCACCTTACTTAGGAACTCAATAATTCAGAATGTTTTTCCTGTTTTACACAATGTTTCCTATGCTTTACACAGGAACAGACCAGCAACTGTATTCATCTTGTGTCATTTCCATCAGGGTCAGACCATGRAAAATTTATCTGTGATCTTATTAACAAAATCTTGTTAATAGGTCTTTTTTTTTCTTCTGCTCCCAGCAGATATATGGAGTGATCATTCATTTCAGACAGACCCTGACTTGCCACCTGGCTGGAAGAAGATCAATGACGTTGCTGGGATCTACTACTGGCACATACCAACAGGAACAACTCAATGGCAGCGTCCTGTGTCCATCCCATCGGATCTCCAGGGCTCACGGAAAGGATCTCTTGGCTCCATTACTCCATCTCCCACTCCAGAAACTGAGGTAAAGTATTGTGGCTTCTTGCGTACTGCATACTGAAAACGGAAATAACTTTTTAAAGTTTCAGGCTTAACTGTTAGCAAGATGAGCTTTAGAATATGGGGCCTGATATTATCCCAAAGCAGAGCTCTCTGTTGATAGTAAATCGTAAGTATCCATTTCCCATGGGCATCTTGCAGTGGTGGTGAATCATGAGGTGTCCTAAGCTGTGGATTTATGGTATGAAATCAGACATCAACTCTTGTGTAAACCAGACAACTAGTCTGTGATTATTGTGAAATTATTGAGACTCTCTAGCATGTGCTAAAGCATTACTGCATTATGCAGGTAGAGGGTACACAAAACATTTACACATTAACAGTCTTCTGGCTGGAGTCTTAGCAATTAAATCTTTTGCTTGGTGTCACACAAAGGCATCTCACCTGACTCTTCACTTGAGATGGCAATTCCTTTACAGGATAGTTTCTATTGAATAAACATCAAGTAYTCTCAGATGCAAACCTGTAACATCCTGTCAGTATAAGATATCTGCACAAGTGTATCACTGCATTGCSGTTGGTCTTTGCCTTGAAACAGAAAGAATGTGCTCTGTCTTTCACATGGGCGGAAAGAGCAATATGTGGTGCAGCCTCTGCAAATAATCTGTTCAGGGACAATCCAGAGGCTTGATTGATGTCATATGCATAGAAATATAAAATAAATGTTCAGAAAGAAGTGTGCTGTGARCTGTGCAATCAGTTTCTTTCTATATGCTGGAAAGCCTTCTACAAAACAAAATCCTAATGCAAAATCAAATTGTTTTGAAACATAGTCCTTTTTCATATTAACTATTCAGAAAAAGCTCCAAAGTTTTATGTTCTTAGTGGAAGACTTTGTACAAGCTTTGTTTTTTGGCTTGGGATCGGCTGGTCCTTMATTATTTTGATGTATTTAGGTATGACATCTATTCTGTTCTTGATTTTGTTGATGTGTCTACCTAAATAATGTAAACAAGAGTTAAGAGGTGTTAAGGACGTTCAAGTACCTTTATGGTCTTGATTCTGAAACTTTTGCTCTGTGTTGGCTTAAATGCATACATTCTTATCCATAGCTATAGGAAGATTATTGAGGCATGCTCATAAATGTGACACACAAAGTTGCAAACTTCAGCACAACACTTCAGTTACGGTTTTCTTCAGACAAGCTCCTGTCTGTGACTGCACTGTGTCCCAAAGACATGTGGGTGTCGAGAAGGTCGTTTTGATGTGACAGAAGTTGTAATTCAGTAGAGAGTCTGCTACAGCAGAGCTTTATGCAGATATACCTGCAGTATCAAGACTTTATACAGCAATGTAAAAAAAAAAAGTCACAGGTGGATAATGATCTTCCAATATTTACATTTATATGCTAATATTATATGGTGAATTTTGATTGCAGATGTATACTAGGTAATTTGTTTCTTGAAGGTCTCTCATTGGTAAGGCTCTAACACGATGTTATTATTCAAACAATACTGATTTATGACTCAGTCACCATAAAGATATAATTGTAATAAAATACCTGAAACTTATAGTAACAGGGTTCAAAATGAGGCTCTGAGTTGGACTCAGGACTTTGACTGCTCACAGGCAAGTTCTGGAAATGCTGCAGTGGAAGAGTGCAGCCCCTGTGCACTGCACTGAAGCCTATCCCCAAAGCTCCCCTTCTCCCTGCATGTGAGGATTAACCTGGCAGTTTGAGATACTGTCAGTGTGACACTTCACTAAAGAGGRGGATTTGATGTAGACTAGGGATTCCCAAGTGCCTTCATCCAGGCACTACCACTGGCAGCAGCAGCGGTTGYGGACGGCTTCCAGCTTGGAGTTGGACCATGTGTGATCTGAGCCCTTGTGGTTGGCACATCACTGTCTGGAAACCTGTGCTCCAGTCTGGTTTGGAAGGGCGCTTTTAACTCATTCCTCTGTGTCAGAACATGTATTTCTTGCTCAAAAGCTTTAGGAGATGTATACATCTCGGATCAATGAAGGAATACAATCTAGGATTGAAGCCTGGCATGGGCAGCGTATCATGTCTGTCCTAATAGACTTTTGTGAGTCCATAAAAGAATCTTTTAGCTCTATCACATTGGTCTCTGAAGCATTACRTGCTGCTCTGGAGAAGAGCTTATTTGGGCTATTCTAGCTTTTGAGGGTTGTTAAATAAACTTAGGGACACTTAGACACACTCATGCTTCCCCGACACCCCCTTCCCTTCCGTAATGCTTTTTTTAGCCCCCGTCTTGTTTTCTTTTTCTTTTTTTTTTTTTTGTTTATTTGTTTTGTTTTGATTTCTGTTTTGTTTTTAATTTGTGTCCCTGTCTCCTAAAGGATGTGATGTACTGAAGCTTGACTTCAGTTAGTGGAATGTGGCTCACAGCTGAAGGCAGCCTACGAAGAACAGATTAAAAAAAAAAAAGTATTTGGTAACATGCCCTGAATATTTAGTATAAAGAAAAAGACTGTTAGGGCTGTTGAACAGCAAATCAGAGAAAAATCTGGGTAAGGGAAAGTGATACTTTTCTGCATGCAAGAGGCAAAAAGGAGTTTACAAAGGAAAGGTGCAAAATGTCTTTCTTTGATTTATGCTATTAAGGCACTTTTTTTGTTCATAAAATAATCATCATTCTCATCAGCAAATTTTAATCCAAAGCAATTATGGCTTGAGCATTAGGTGAAAATTCAACAGATATAAAATTAAAAAAAAAAAAAAAAAAAAAAAAAGGTGAATAGACACTAACCATGAGGAACTTGAAGCATTCCTTTTCCTCCTCACCCTCAACAGCATCGAAGTCTGGCTTGGTTTTACACAACAGATTAAATTTAACTTAGTTTAAATGACTCTTTTCTGCCCTATGTTGCTGGATTGACTTCCTTTTTGGGTCCTTGTGTTTTATAAAGTTCTCTTCCAACCTTTTWAGGAGACTTTGCTGCTTTTTTTTCTATTTCTTGTGCTGAGGGGAAAAAAAAATCCTAAGGTTTAATTTTCAGCAAGAGGATTTGGGGGATTACAGCAGAATGTGGAATGGTTGTTATATCTTTCTAAAATCTAACTCATCACAGGCCTGGATCAGCTCTAGTGTTTCTTCCATAGGTAACTTAGCTACTGGAAGCCAATAATTAAAAAATGCAGAGCTCAGTAAGAAAGAATAACCAATATCGATGAGTTCAGCCCTGTGCGGGAAGAGCTGCTCGTAGAGCTGCTCTCACACATGACTCCTGCAGCGGGGATGTCCTGAGGACACTTCGGATGGAGGGCTTGGCTGTGCAAGTGGATGCAGCATCAAGCCCTAGCATGAGATGGTCGGTTGGCTTCCTGTGAGCTGGGCCCCTGGAGGAGCTCGGCCGGCAGGAACTCGTTAATTACCCAAGGAATTAAAGCTTAAATGAGCCACAAGGAGGCRGCTCGGGATGATCTTCCTACAGCCAGACTTCCTGTCCCACCTGGCTCTGCTTGTGGGATTTCTGTGCTCGCATGGGAAGGAGAGAGGTGAGCTCTAACCGTGGCCAACGCCACAGACCTGGCGGGAATGGAGGAACCTCAGGCTACTCCAGTGGCTGCTGGTGGCCGCCTCGGAGCGGGGAGATGGAAGGAGGGCTTTTGTTTGGCAGGCATGTGTTCTTTTTTCCTTAGTTTTGTTCTTAAGAAGGTTATCAGTCCTTACCGAACTACTTTTTCATCGGGAAGTCTCTCTGCACTCCTTCCTACTCCTCTTTTGCACTTCTTTTTGTAGAAATGATTTAAGCCTTACCCAGTATATAGCCTTATATGCACCCCTGTACTTCAGTATTTCTGTTTCCAGCAGTGTTAGTCTCAATAAAAATGCCAAATGGAAGTCCCATTTTCCCCTTAATTGCTGTTTATTGGAGGCTGTAGCAGCTGTGGCCAACATTCATATTCAGATCCATTTTGCTTGCTTTTAAGATCATAGTTAAAGAGTAATCCCATTGGCTGTTCCTAATTTGTATTCAATCATTTGCTTTGGTAAGTAACTGTAGAGGCAACTCTGCCCTCTCCTCCAGATGCCATGCTATAGTGGAGCAATTAGTGAAGTTTGAGGTGATCTGTTCCCTAACGCATCCTGTATATATCAATGCTAACAACAGTGTCTTGTGTTTTTTTTTTCTTTTTCTTTTCTTTTCTTTCTTTTTTTCTTTTTCTTTTTCTTTTTCTTTCTTTTTTTTTTTTTTTATCAATGTGCTTCTTCCCGTGTGAATAATTATATGTCTAGAAACAGCCATGGAGTGATTTTGCTGTACTGAATGGGGGAAAGATTAATAGTGACATTTGGAAGGCAAGTATATTGTCAGATTTTAGACCCTTTAATACTATTACCCTTGTTTTTTTCTGCATGGCAGTGGCTGTTTTCTTCCCCTTTTATTTTTCCATGACCATCATCCATAACATAGGCCAAAGTAAATGGGGGTGTTGCTAGGGACGTCTAGCTCACAAACATGCTGCCTTTTTCTGATCTTTCCACTTGGAATGGATTCAGCCTAAGCTAGCAAGGCAACTGTCATGATGTAACTAATAAGATGCCTGCACTGAATGAAACACAGCTTGAGAATATATGCATGCCTCTCTTCAACTTCAGCCAGAAATACTGTCTGCTGCTTTGCAGGGAGGATTTTGTTTCCCTTTGAAATAAGAAGTAACATGGCAGTGTGCTTAGTACTATATTAATAGGACTACCTTTATCTCTAGGATCTGCATGCAGCGACTGTGAACCCAGACCCAAGTCTGAAAGAATTTGAAGGAGCAACCTTACGCTATGCCTCTCTGAAGCTCAGGTACAATGTCTACAGAAGCCATGGCATGACCAGTTCCATGTTGTGCTTTGCTGTGGTTTGCCATAAGTTTTATGTGATTTTAACATGAGTATTTTTTTCCCCGTGACAGAAATGCTCCGCAGTCTGATGATGATGATTCCTCTAGCATCAACAGTGATCCAGAAGCGAAGGTGAGATCATCTGCAGTGAAATAACGATGACGTTCAGAAATTGTAAATATAACTTGCAAGGTGCAGAATGTCTCAGGTTCTGAATTTAAAGTTACTCCTCAAGGCGATGGTAGTATTTTGGCACTGTGTAGACTGACTTGAACTGTGCAAGACTAACACCATCAAAGACATTTGCAGATTTAAATGTTCACTCAGTTTGGTCAGGATTAAGTGTGACTTATTTTAAGATGGCACAAGCCAAGAAATTGGACATTTAACAGTGTAGGTTGTGCTGTCAGACTGTAAAACTGTGACCCCCTGCACAGCTGAACAAGTTTCCTACCTTGAGTAAAGAGGAATTTGTTGTTTGGCATGGCCTGGTGGCTTCCGGGGAGATTCAGTGATAGACTTTGCTCTTTAATTTTGGAGTTCCTCCCCTTTTTGAACGTCCCTCCTCGTTCATGTGACAGCTTACACCTGCAACTAGTAACAAGGAGCCTGTTTWTCAGAACAAGAAACTGTGTGTTTTAAAACAGAGTGTGCAACCTAGTTTGAGGGTGACATTTACGAAAAAAGAGGCCTTTGTATGAAAGCACATTTTAAATCAGAGCCTTGGCTCTTGTAATGAAATGCATTTGAGGAGAAAGGAGAAGCAAAAGGTTTTCAGTGCTTGCATATGTATTTCCAGATCTGTCATTCAATTTTCTTGGTGGTTTTGCCTTGTTCATACATGCGTTTTAAGGAGGTCTGTGAATCTCTGTAATTGGAAACCCGAGTAATTTAAATAAGTGATCTGGCTCTGCCATACACCTACGAAGAYTGACAGGAGCATAAGCTATTTATATGCAGAAAGACAGTATATAGCAGGCTTARTAGTTATAATGGCATTTGTGATGTATTTTAGTAGCAAAAACGGACTGATCAGGGGACTTAAACTTCTTTTGTCAACTTGATTATTTGGCTTGTGATGCTTAAATCAGATGTAAATAACCAAAAGCAGCAGTTTCAGCTGTGCTCATTATCATGAYAAGCAGTAAGTTCTGGGAATAGTAAATGGAGTGGGGGGAATGATTGAGCATTAGGTAGCAGCCCTAGCCAGAGGGCTGCTCTTTTCAAGATAAGGCTTTCCTTGCCATCAGGTTTATCAGGAGATGGTATTTTGGTGAGCTGGGCAATTTGCSCTGTGTAAATTAGAACCCACTCTGCAAGGAGGACTGTGGGGTGCAGACACCGCTCCTGTCTTTGTCTCCCTCCCCTGTTTATCTGGCTTAGCTGGACTGTGATATTCAGTGAACTGTTACCCGTCCTGCAGCACTCAAGTACTCCTAGGCCAAGTGCAAATCTGCTGTTGTCTGAAACCGCAGGTTTGGTTACTCAGGTTTAGGCAAAGTCATGTTGATTGTGCTTAAATGGTTCAATGGAGCTGAGCACTGAAATGCTCAGAGGAAAAGGGACCGTGAGGAGTAAGACAAGAAACAGGAGAGAGATTATAGGTGTATTTTAAAATCACAGGTTGGAGCAGGTGGGAGTGTGTACCCGCGCAGCCGGGTGAGGCAAATTCCTCAGTAGCCATTTACCCAGAGTATTGTGGGACTGGAAGAGCTTGGACGGGCTTTGACACTCATCAGACTTTGGCAAACCAGAATTTTTTTAGGCTCTTAAGCCCTTCCTCTAACACATGGTTTACCCCAGCTTTGTTTGAAACTTAGTTTTTCTGTGGCAGCAAGCAGATTATTTTTTTATTTGAGCCTRGAAAAATAGAGCGTTTTTTGACTCGTTAAACTCTCTATTGGAACAACAACTTGGTAGAGATCTCAAATTTTAAGCYTATTGTTACAGTGGCCAGTACCGTTTGAAAATAGCAGTTTTGCTTTCTTGAGTGGCTCTGATGGTGCCTTTCAAGAAAGGAAACTCTGCCACCCTGTGGAAAGCTAAAGCAATGACCTTCTCCGGTGGCTCTCTGTTTCTGTAATGACTGTAGCACTGCAAAAAATGTCAGGGCTAGGGGAAAAAGTCTGGTATAAGATTCACAGRGCTCTTGTTATAAGAGATTTATGCAGCAAAGCAACTAGGCGTTTAAAATAATCAATAAAGTTAATGTTTCTCTGTATACCACGAGCTCAAGATACAATTTTAAATTTCAGTTCCTTGATCCACTCTTTGGTCACCTCCACAGGAAAGAAGGTGGGAGGAGAAATCACCTTCATTTAAGGGCAGGGGATGGTTAAATGCAGATTGTTGGGTAGGAATATCTTAGAGATGACTCATTGCACGTGCCAGAGGTACTAACTGTGCTTGTGGAACATGCACAGCTGGAAGGGAGGTTTCCACTGGTACTTCCCACGGGACTCAGTTTAGAGAGCAGCCTGGACCGTCCTAACCTGGGGGCTAGAAAACGCTACAAGAGGTGATCTTAGCTCCAAGGGAGGTTAAAAGATACGTTTATCAGTCCTGAACTGTAGCTTCCTTCGGACTGTCTCTTTTTAAGGATTTATAAAATATGATAGATGTGCAAAAGTGTATAAAAAGGGCTTAATTTTTTTCTCTTGTGGAGGCACAAGGCAGCTGTACCTCCTGGGAAACCTGTCTCCATCCATTCACCTTCATTCACCTCCATCCATTCACTTGCCTTTATTCTGTCTTTTTAAAAGTGGTGTTCCATTTAAGCTTTATGTTCTCATTCTATATGAATGATGGCTTTTCAAATTCCCTATTTGGACTGGGTCAGCAGAGTTTTTCTCCTAGAATAGGAGAGTCTTGCTTCCTTAGGTATTAATTCACGTTAGACTTTCAGAAGTTCATAGGAAATGCCAAAAAAAAAAAGGGAGTGGGGGAGGAAAGTAGTCAGTCTTGCCAGTCATGGTAGTATAGCAGAAATAGATCCACCTTTCAGTCTTTGCAGCTTCTGGGGAGCAATGGGGAATGATGAGGACAGCACTTTCTAAACTGGCTATTCTAGAAACTGGCTGGCTGCCATTAGCAGCGTTAAGAGGTATTCCCAACTATGGAGAAGCAGCAGGTAAATAATGTGGATGCTCTGAAATATTCAGCCTCAAAAGGCATTTTAGAAGTAGCAAGTTAATGGAGTAAAAATACATAAGCAAATAAATGCAAAAGTAGGATCTTTTTCATTTTGTGCATCAGATCTTTTGAGGAGTGCATTTGATTGTTCGTTCTCTCTCCCTAATCAATGCTTACTATTGGYATATATTGTGTCATTAAGTGACATTGTAAGTGATAATGCTATTTTGTGATGTCCGTCATAATATAGATTTCCATTTAGAGGAAATTAGCTTCTACCTTGTTTCTATATGGAGATAAATCTAAGAGACTGGCTCTTATCAGTGATACACAAAGCTGTAATTATTGTATATGTTTATAATGGATGTGCAGTATTTCTGGGGCCATTTCTTGGGACCTTCAAGGTTATCTGAGTTTCAGCATTATATCCTGAGAAATACCTTGTCTTTCAGTCCTAGAAATCCCATATATGTGGTGGGATTTTCGATGTGTGCTGCTGTGCAGTGTCCAGACATGAGTGACTGAACAGTACGAGAGATTTAGAGAAAAGAGATTTTCCTTGCAGGCTGCCCCAGCAAGATGTATCACAAAATCATTCTTCCTTTGCAGGAAAATAGAAACAGCCTTAAAACTTACCCATAAGTTTCCAGGACTGCAGCAATATAATTACATCTTGAATGTTTGTGCATTATCGGTGTTTTATTTATTGAGATACACAGTACAGATGCTTTGCACCAGGCTGCTGGACTTCTACAGGATTTGGAAAAGAGAAGATGAAAATAAAGAACACTTTTTTTTTCTCGGATCAGACCAAAATATCTTCTTAGCTTCTAAAGTTTCAGTACCAATGGAGAGTTTGCTGTGATCTTTAGGCCAGGGATTGCTGTTGGGATAACAAGAACATCAATGCCAATTATTGTAGCAGGAAAAATCAATGAAAACAGGGATCATGTGGGTGACACTTTTGCCTTGAAACAGGGCAGGATCTGGGGTGCTGTGGACAGGTGGGTGATTCCAGCTTTGGTGTTAGGTAGGTGCACGTTAATGCCCACCACCCCCTTGCAAAATGAGCTGTGGGAGCCTGTTGTGGGTGTCTCTTCAGTTATTTACAGTCACTTGCAGGTTTAGGGTGGCTCAGGGTAACAGCCCATTCTCAGCTGTAGGGTCACAAAGCTGGCCCTTCTGTTCCATAGAATTGTACCGGCAGTAGCAGGAACACATCTTTTATATACACATATATATATATATATATGCTGAAAATGGCACAGCACATCCTTGATGAGCTATTTGTACATCGCAAACTTGCTGGCCGCTGCATTTTATGAAGGAAGTTCATTTAAAAATCAATTAAAACTGAGCATTGTATTGAATGGCAGCGCAGTATTTAGATGTCCCTAACTATCATGTGTATCTATTTTAGGGTTCGTTCCAGCTCTGAATCTCGTTTTAAAGGAACAGAGRTCTTCCTTATCACAATTTCCCACATTTCAGCAAAGATGAAGGGAATAGGGGGTAATATTCAGCTCTTAGGAAATGTAAAATTGTATACTGTCATATGAGGAGAGACTGAGTTGGGCCTGGTTTCTCTAGAGAAGAGAAGGTTGAGAGGGAATCTGATTAACGTGTATAAGTTCATGAAGGGAGAATGTAGGGAGGAAGGGGCCAAGCCCTTCTCAGTGGTGGCCACTGACCGGACAAGGGGCAATGGGTGTAAGTTGAAACACAGGAATTTCCATCTCCATGTGAGGAGGAAGTTCTTTCCTGTGAGGGTGACAGAGCCCCGGAACAGGCTGCCCAGGGAGGTTGTGGAGTCTCCTTCTCTGGAGGTCTTCCCAGCCTGCCTGGATGCCACCCCGTGCCACGTGCTCTGGGTGTCCCTGCTGGAGCAGGAAGGTTGGACTAGATGATCTCTGGAGATCCCTTCCCACCTTGGCCATTCTGTGATGCTGTAAAAGCAGGGCCAGGCAGTGCCACGCTAGCCCGGCCTGGGTGCCCGTTAG